ACAGAATAACAGCATGGAAATTGTTCATAAGCAATAAGGGTTGAATTGGCATGTTCTAAGGTCATTTGTCTTTTTCACGGGTGTAGACCTATTGGAGTCGGCTGAGGACAGTGGAATTACTGTGAGATAAGGAACACATGGCTTTTCTGGCATGTGACATGATAGATATCATGAGAACAGGTCACTAGAGAGAGAGGGAGGGGGGGAACTGAGAGGGAGATAGGGTGAGATAGAGGGTGAAAGAGAGAGAGAGAGAGATAGGGGAAGATAGAGAGAGAGAAAGAGAGAGAGCATAAGAGAGAAAGAGAAAGAGAGAGAGAGTGTGTGTGTAAGAGAGAGAATGAGAGTGTAAGAGAAAGAGAGTAAGAGAGAGAGAGAGAGAGAAAGAAAGAGAGTGTAAGAGAGAGAGAGAGAGAGAGAGAGAGAGAGAGAGAGAGAGAGAGAGAGAGAGTGTAAGAGGGAGAGAGAGAGAGAAAGAGTGTAAAAGAGAGAGAGAGAGAGAGAGAAAAAGAGTGTAAAAGAGAGAGAGAAAGAATGTAAAAGAGGAAAAGAGAGAGAGAAAGGGTGTATGAGAGAGGGAAAAAGAGAGAGAGAGTGTAAGAGAGAGACAGAGAGAGATTGAGATTGAGAGTCTAGTGACCTGTTCTCGTGATCTCCCTCGTCTTACATACCAGAAAAGCCATGTGTTCCTTATCTCACAGTAATTCCACTGTCCTCAGCCGACTCCAATAGGTCTACACCCGTAAAAATGACAAATGACCTTAGAACATGCTAATTCAACCCTCACTGCTTGTGAACATTTCCCATGCTGTTATTCTGTTGTCTATGTGTACAATTGTGTGTTGTTTACACTCAAAATGTTAGTTAGAAAATGCTTATTCTGAATCTCTAAGCATGTTGCCGCTAACATTGTCTATATTCAAATGCTTTTATGTTTTGTGTATATTTAGCATTTTTGTCTCCTTATCGCGAAGCTTTTTAGTCTTGTAAACACCATAACACTCTTCTTACATACAACCGTATATAAGGTACCCTTGTTCGTTCACCACGAAACCACCATGTTACCATATGTATAGGAATTTTATGTTCATTCAAATTCTTTCATGTTTTCCATTTTGAAATGTTTCAAAACGAAGTTTGTTGATAGAAATTTCTGAGCAGTCCAGAAAGACCACTCGCCACAGCGGGCCGGGCAGGTTGCCCTACTCTTCCCTGGGTGCCCCTGCCTTGCCTGCCCTCTGTATCCCACCTACCACGCTCCCGCAGAAATAAGGACTTGAAGCAGCAACAACTTTAACTCAACTCCACAACACTTCAAGTACCAAACCAGTTCCATACAGAAGAGACAGAGGGGAGACACAACATCCACTAATGTGTCATTACATATTTGGTGGCACCGCTCTGGGATCACATCACAACCACACCTACATTATAGAGAGTGTAAGAGAGAGAGAGTGTGTGTGTAAAAGAGAGAAAGAGTGTAAAAGAGAGAGAGAGAGGAAGAAAGAGTGTAAAAGAGAGAGTGTAAAAAGAGAGAGAAAGTGTAAAAGAGAGAGAGAGAAAGAGTGTAAAAGAGAGAGGGAGAGAAAGAGTGTAAAAGAGAGAGGGAGAGAAAGAGTGTAAAAGAGAGAGGGAGAGAAAGAGTGTAAAAGAGAGAGGGAGAGAAAGAGTGTAAAAGAGAGAGGGAGAGAAGAGTGTAAAAGAGAGAGGGAGAGAAAGAGTGTAAAAGAGAGAGGGAGAGAAAGAGTGTAAAAGAGAGAGGGAGAGAAAGAGTGTAAAAGAGAGAGGGAGAGAAAGAGTGTAAAAGAGAGAGGGAGAGAAAGAGTGTAAAAGAGAGAGGGAGAGAAAGAGTGTAAAAGAGAGAGGGAGAGAAAGAGTGTAAAAGAGAGAGGGAGAGAAAGAGTGTAAAAGAGAGAGGGAGAGAAAGAGTGTAAAAGAGAGAGGGAGAGAAAGAGTGTAAAAGAGAGAGGGAGAGAAAGAGTGTAAAAGAGAGAGGGAGAGAAAGAGTGTAAAAGAGAGGAGGGAGAGAAAGAGTGTAAAAGGAGAGAGGAGAGAAAGAGTGTAAAAGAGAGAGGGAGAGAAAGAGTGTAAAAGGAGAGAGGGAGAGAAAAGAGTGTTAAAAGAGAGAGGAGAGAAAGAGTGTAAGAGAGAGGGAGAGAAGAGTGTAAAAGAGAGATTGAGAGGAAAGAGTGTAAAAGAGAGGAGGGAGAGAAAGAGTGTAAAAGAGAGATTGAGAGAAAGAGGGTAAAAGAGAGATGAGAGAAAGAGTGTTAAAAGAGAGATTGAGAGAAAGAGTGTAAAAGAGAGATTGAGAGAAAGAGTGTAAAAGAGAGATGAGAGAAAGAGTGTAAAAGAGAGGATGAGAGAAAGAGTGTAAAAGACGAGATTGAGAGAAAGAGTGTAAAAGAGAGATTGAGAGAAAGAGTGTTAAAAGAGAGAGGAGAGAAAAGAGTGTAAAAGAGGAGATTGAGAGAAAGAGTGTAAAAGAGGAGATGAGAGA